AAATGGATGGGGAAATAAGATACTTCCATGACAAAGAACACCTGAGAAACTTCATGAATATGAAACCTGCACTCCAAACAATTCTAAACAATATCATAGAAAAAGACAATGAAGGTCACAACAGTATGAGGCCCAACAGAGCAAATCAATATGCAAGTCAAGAAACCCAAGGCAGAGGGGGGAAAAATTAAAGTGTCAACAACAGGACAATAACATGACAATGATAAGTCAATACATATCAGTTATAACCATCAATGTTAATGGCCTCAATTCACCAATCAAAAGAAACAGACTGGCAGAATGGATTAAGAAGCAAAATCCCACAATATGTTGTATACAACAAACATACCTAGTTCAAAAAGAAACTCATAGACTGCAAGTAAAAGAATGGAAAAGAGTTCTCTAAGAAAAAGGAGCCCAGAAAAAACTAGGGGTAGCTATCTTCTTTACAGACAAAGTAAATTTCAAACCAAAACCAATTAAGAGAGACAAAGAAGGTCACTACATCCTTGCACATGGAACAATCCAAGAGGAAGAGAGGACAATCATAAATATATATGTGCCAAATACTAATGCCCCCAATTATACCAAACAAATATTAAGGGAAATAAGCACTAATACAATTATAGTGAGGATCTCAATACTGCACTATCACAAATAGACAGATCATCTATACAAAAAATCAAAAACAAAATGCTAGAATTGAACCAAGCTTTTGAACAAATGGACTTAATAGGTTGTCTACAGAGGGTCTGATCCCACAAAATCAGAATATACATTCTTTTCAGCTGCACATAGGTTATTCTCCAAAGTAGACCACATACTAGGTCATAGAACATGTTTAAATAAATGCAAAGGAATTGAAGTTATCCCCTGTATATTATGAGACCATAGTGTCATTAAGCTGGAGATCAATAGCATAAGAAACCACAAGAACTTCACAAACACATTGAAAGTGAACAATACTCACAATAGGTCGCAGAGGAAATTAAAGAAGAAATCAGTTTGTACAAATAAATGATAATGCCAGTACAACACACAGGAATCTATGGGACTCAATGAGAGCAGTTTTACATGGAAAAGTCATGGCAGTGAAATGCCCATACTAGGAAAATAGAGCAAGCTCCAATAAACAACCTAATGATGATCTTAAGCTCCTAGAAAAAAAAGAGCAAGAAAACCCCAAAGTTCATGCAAGGGAGGAAATTATAAAGATCAGAGCAGAAATCAGTGCAATTAGAGACTAAGAGAACAATATAAAAAAATCAACAAATCAAAGAGTTGTTTTTTCAAAACACTAAATAAAATCGATAAACCCTTAGCCAGCCTTGTCAAAAAAAGGAAAGAGAAGGCTCAGATCCATGCAATTAAGGATGAAAAAGGCGAAGTCACAACAGATCCAGCAGAAATCGAGAGGATCATCAATACCTACCTTGAGAACCTGTACTCTAATAAAATGGAAAACACTGGAGAAATGGACAGATTTCTAGATACTCATGAATTACCAAAGTTGAACAAAGAAGATAAAAAATTTCTAAATACCCCAATTGCAATCAGTGAAATTGAAAATGAAATAAAAAATTTACCAACAAAGAAAAGCCTTGGTCCTAATGGCTTCACTGTTGAATTCCACAAGACATTTAGAATGTTGAATGAAGACATTTAGAGAAGAACTATTGCTACTACTCTTTAAACTTTTCAATGAAATTGAAAGGGAAGCAATACTTCCAAATTCATTCCAGGAAGCAAGTGCTACTCTCATTCCAAAACCAGAGAAAGGCCCAACCAAAAAAGAGAACTACAAGCAAATCTCCCTAATGAACATAGATGCAAAAATCCTCAATAAAAATCTGGCAAACGGAATACAGAGGGTCATCAAGAAGAACATATGGGGCCAGTGATTTAGCTCAGTGGTTCCACTGCCTGCCATGCAAGCACAAGGACCTGAGTTCAAACCCCAATACAAAAAAAAAATTTTTTTTTAACTCACCCGTTTGGGCCAGGGATTTAGCTTAGTGGTGCTGCCTCCTGCCTCGCAAGCGGAAGGTCCCAAGTTCAATCCCTGGTATCAAAAAAAAAAAAAAAAAAAAAAAAAAAAAAAAAAGATCATATGCCCTGATGAAGTCAGGTTTATTCCAGGGATGCAAGGATGATCCAATATATGTACATCAATAAATGTGATATACTATATTAACAGAGTCAAGGACAAAAACAATGTGATCGTCTCAGCAGATGCAGAAAAAGCATTCAACAAAATTCAACACCCATTCATGATAAAAACCCTACAGAAAACTGGAAGAGATGGTGTTTATCTTGACTTGAAAACCGCTATCTATGAACAACCAATAGCCAACATCATAGTAAATGTCCAAAAACAGAAAACTTTCACACTAAAAACAGGAACAAGACAAGGATGTCCACTATTACCACTCCTGTTCAATATAGTTCTGGAAACATTAGCCACAGCAATTAGACATGAAAAAGAAATTAAAGCAGTAAGATAGGAAAGGAAGAAGTTAAACTGTCAGTATTTGCTGACAATGTGATACTCTACAGAGAAGACCCAAAGAAAAACTCTGCCAAAAGATTTCAAGACTTAATTGACACTTTCAGGGCAGTAAATGGATACAAGGTCAACACTCAAAAAGTCAATAACCTTCTTGTACACAAATAACAGACTCAATGGAGAGAAATTAGGGAAAAGTTCCATCCACAATAGCATCCCCAAAAATGAAGTATCCAGGAATCAATCAAATGAAGGAAGCAAAGGACCTCTACAATGATTGAAAAGGACCTTTTCAATCTCTGAAAAAAGAGATCGAAGAGGATACAAGAAAATGGAACGATATCCCTTGCTCCTGGGTAGGAAGAATCAACATAATGAAAATGGCCATACTACCAAAACTGCTATACAGATGCAATGAAATACCAATTGAAATTCCAACAGAATATCTCACAGAAATTGAGGAAATAATCCAAAAATTAATTTGGAACCAGAAGAGACCTAGAATTCCAAAAGCAATTCTAGGCAACAGAGACATGACGGGGGTATCATAATCTCCAACTTGAAACTCTACTAAAAAAGCCACTGGCAAAGAAAACGACCCAAGGATCATTGCAATACATTGGAATATACAGAAACAACTCCAGGTATACTCAGCTACCTAATCTTTGACAAAGGAGCCAACCATCCTCACTGGAGGAAAGCTAGCCTCTTTAATAAATGGTGTTGGAAAAACTGGATTTCAACTTGTCAAAGATTAAAACTAGACCCTTATCTTTTACCATGCACTAAACTAAAATCCAAGTGGATGAAAGTTCTAAATATTACAACAGAAACACTAAACTTGCTGGAAGATAAGTTAGGTGGAACCCTCGAAGATAATTGGTATAGGAAAAGACTTTATGAATAAATTCTCAGTAGCACAGGAACTAGCACAAAGAATCAACAACTGGGATCTCATCTTTTTAAAAAGCTTCTGCACTGCAAGAGAAACCACGAGAAGAGCAGAGACAACCTACAGTGTGGGAAAAAATTTTTAGCAGCTGCTCCTCAGACAAAGGTCTACTATGTAGAATATATAAAGAACTCAAATCACATCCCCCAAATATAAAGACCCAATTCAAAAGTGGTCATCTGAAATGAACAGACATTTCTCAAAGAATTAAAAGCAGCAAATAAATACACGAAAAAATGTGCAATATCATAGGTCATTCAAGAGACGCAAAACAAAACAAACAAAAAACAAAACAAAACAAAAAACACCAAAAAACTGACATTCCACCTCACACTTGAAAGAATGGCTGCTATCAAGAAATCAACCAATAAAAAATGCTGCCAGGATTGTGGAGAGAAAGGAACCCTTCTCTATTGTTTCGGGGAGTGCAGACTGGTACAACCACTGCGAAAATCAATATGGAGATACCTCAAAGGATTAGAGGTTCCATTTGGCCCAGCTATCCTCTGCTGGGTATCTTTCCAAAAGAATTAAAAGAATCATATCACAGTGATATATGCATACCCATGTTTATAGCAGCACAGCTTGTGGTCGCTATAACTTGGAAACAGCCCATTTCCCCATCAACTGGAGACTGGATAAAGGTGTAGGGTCTTTTGTTTTTTTGTTTTTTTATAAAATGCAGTTCAGTACTACTTAGCCATAAAGAATGAGAAACTGGATCATTTATAGGAAAATGGATGCATATTGAGGCCATAATATTAAGTGAAATAAATAGGACACATATGTGGAAATACCGAATAGTTTCTCTGGTGTGAAAAACCTGAAAGTGTACGCAAGGATCAAAATATACAACTGACAATGTGAAATAGGAAGAAAAGGGCTAAAGGTGTAGGGGAAGTGGGAAGGGTAGGGGAAAGGAAACAAGGGAAAAACAATATGAGAAAAGGAAGAAATGGAAACAAGAGGGAAAGGTGGAAGGGTGAAGGGAGGGCAGAGTTATAGGGAAAACTGAGAACCAAGATCTGTCCTGTAAAGGTACCAGACCCCAATGAGGAGTGTAACTGTGCTGTACACCTAAAAAGTACCAATAAACTCAATGAAAAATAAAAGATGACAGCGTGGGCTGCAGCGCAGGGCTCTCAGCACACTGGAGGAAAGCCTCCTAGACGAACCAGACAGGCCTGTGAGCACTGCTGCTTATGTAGCAGACACAGGTGTGTGATAGGTCCAAGGGATCCAAGGTAATTGCCCTCCTGTCCTGGTCACCATCCAGTGAGGGGGATTCTCGGCCCCACCCTGCCCGCGGCTACCCAAGAGAGCAAATGTCCAGACCTCACCTGCCACGCCCCTGCCTGTTACCTCATCCCTTCAGATGGGCAAGGAGACCACAAAGGATCGCATGCCAGAGACTCACCAGGTCCTCTGCGCTCTGCCCGTCTGCTCTGGGGTGAAGTGGTTACAGTGGAAACCTCAGACCTGGCCATCGCAAGGAGACCCCCAGTATCCACTCTTCACAGATGAGACTCCCTGAATGCAGGCATGAGTTTGGTAGAGACGGTCGTGCCCCTAAGGGATCTGCTTCTGCTGTTGGGGCTGTGGGCCCTCCTGGGTCCAGTCCGAGGCTTCCACGGCCGCCCCTCATGGCACTATGTCTCCTCTGAGGTGGTGATTCCCAGGAGGCACACGCACTATGGCAAAGGCCTTCAGGTGCCAGGCTGGCTCTCCTACAGCCTGCGCTTTGGGGGCCAGAGGCACATCATCCATCTACACAGAAAAACGGAGTTCGTCAGCAGACAGCTGCTGCTGGTGACACAGAACGACCAAGGTGGCATGCAGATGGACTACCCCTACATCCCTCTGGACTGTCACTACATCGGCTATGTGGAAGAAGTTCCTCACTCAATGGCCCACATCGATACGTGCTACGGAGGCCTGGAAGGCATCATGAAGTTGGATGACCTCACCTATGAGATCAAGCCCCTCAAGGAGTCTCTGACTTTTGAGCACATTGTGTCTCAGATAGTGGTGGACGTCAATTTGACAGAGCCTAGATCCAGACCCAGAGAGAAGGAGCACTCATGGTCCGATGGAGCTAATGCCACTGCAAGCCCCCGGATCCCTAGCAAAGTGTATATATTCCATCCTTTCAGAATATCAGGCCATCTTCAAAGTACACATGAGGTATACAAGAAATATGACAACAAGACAGAGTGTGTGAAATTTATGATGACACTGGCTGGTGGAGTGCAAGCAATACTTGAAAATCTGTCTGTGAGGTACAGTGTCGCTGTTTTGACGGTGTATGATGTGCGCAACCCCATGGACATGAGTGATTATAGGGTGCCAGAGAGTCCCTATGCTCAGTATTTCATGCGGGTTGTCTATCGTACATGGGGGTGCTCCTCAAACTTCGTAATATTTTTGCAAGGACCGTATGAATTAGACGTGGCTCCACCCAAGTACAGCACGTGCAGTATGCAAAACCTGGTCTTTCTTGGTCTGAGGGGTAGACACACATTCACAGTATCTGTTGTAGGAGCACAGCAGGTTGGGAGATCTCTCGGTCTAAACTATGATGAACGCTATTGCCAGTGCCAGAGAAGGGCCACCTGCATAATGCACAAACACCCTGTGCTGACAGATTCATTCAGCAATTGCTCCTACGTGGACCTGGCACACATACTTACACTTGCGTCAGCAGAGTGCCTATATGTTGAAAATTTTACATATTATAATAAAACCTATACGGAGTATATTTGCGGGAACAGAAAAAAGGAAGGACAGGAGGATTGTGACTGTGGATCCTTCAAGCAGTGCTATGACAACACATGTTGTGAAAGCTCCTGTGTCTTTACGCCCGGTAGCATTTGCGATGGGCAAGTCTGCTGCGGGAACTGCACCTATGCCCCTGCAGGGACGCTCTGCAGAGGCGTGCTCAATATCTGTGACCTTCCAGAGTACTGCGGTGGAAGCACATTCTTCTGTCCAGAAAACCTGTATCTGCAGAACGGAACCCCGTGCACCGAAGAGGGCTACTGTTACAACGGAAACTGTACTGACCGCACCATGCACTGCAGAGAAATCTTTGGAAGAAACACCAGAAAGGGTGATGATATCTGCTATCAAATGAACACAAAGGCCAGCAGATTTGGGCATTGTAACAGGAGATATGTAGGACTCGCATTTGAGAGGTGTCCAATAAGCGACATTCTTTGCGGAAGGCTGCAGTGTAGCAATGTAACCCACCTTCCCCGGGTGGATGAACATGTTTCATTCCATCAGTCTAAGCTTGGAGACTCTTGGTGCTTTGGACTAGATGAGCACCGTGGTGCATTCGCTCGGGACCTTGGATTTGTGCGAACTGGTACTCCCTGTGCTCCAGGAAAATACTGTCATTATCGTCGCTGCAATAACACTGTGCAAAAAATAAACTACGACTGTACACCAGAGAAGTGTAATTTTAGGGGAGTTTGCAACAACAAAAGGCAATGTCACTGTCATACAGGTTGGTCTCCTCCACTGTGCCTATCAAGAGGTGCCGGTGGCAGTGAGGAAAGTGGACCACCTCCGAGAGCAGTGCGGGAAGTCACACAGAACCCGGAGCCCGTGCACTATTTGAGAATCATGGTTGGTCGCATTTATGCGTTCATAGCGGCGCTGCTCATTGGGGTGGCCATGAACGTGCGGACTGTCAAGACTGCCACAGTTCAGGAAGTAAAACAGCCTCAGCCAGCTTAAAAGAAGTCAGCGTCCGGCCCCCGATAAACCACTGAGGGGCCACACAGACACCTCGGAGGAATCAGAAGAAAAGGTGGCAAAGCCTCAAGCCCTCCAGATCCACACAGGTGTCCCGGGGCCGTGGTGCATGTGGGGGAATTTGGGAGACGGCAGGTGTTCCTTGACAGGCTGCGGAGGCTCACTGCGGGATGAACACAAAATAAACCCTTCTACCCCAGAAGCGGCTTGTCTCGTGTATCTTGTCATAGCCAGGGAAAGCCGGCGAGCCCAGATGGGAGCTGAGCACCGAGAGCACAGGAGGGGCCCTGGGCAGCCTGGGAGTCATGGAAGCAGGGAGAGGCTCCCTCTCTGCGGAGGCCAAAGCCAGAGATTGTGCTTTAGGAGGATGCTCATGGTGCAGAGACAGGGGCAGGCAGCAAAGGGGACTTAGAAAGACCCCCAAGAGACGGGAGGAAGCAGGGCCCAACAGGCCCCCTCCCAAAAGCGGCAGACATAGTACTTGCCCTGTCCAGGAAGAGGGAGCCATGTGGTTGCCAGTTACCCCCTGCGCCCTGGGGGACTGTGCTAGGACAGTGAGCGCTCTCTGGGCAGGCGTTGTAGGGCTGGCTCTCTCCCGGGGCCAGGCCTGTCCACCACCGATGGAGCCAAGGTCAACTCCTTCCCAGCAGAAGGGGGCCAGGTGCAAGGGCCCAGACGTGGGCCACCTCCCCACCAGCAGGTCCACTGATGCTCACCCTGGCCTCGCCATGGAGACGTCCTCCCAGGTTCTCCGAGGGTCCTAGGGTCCTGAGACTACACAGGGAACCAGGAGTCCAGGAAAGACGATCCTAGCTTTCTGTGCTAGCCCAGGCCGCGCTGTGTCCCAGACGCAGCCTGTGCTTTGATCTTGGCTCACACCCTCTTTTTCTCTTTACTCTGCAAAGCCAGGTTCTCTCTGGCTCTTCACCTTTACTTTCTTGAATAAACTGTGTCATTGTTTTTGGCTCCTTTCCTTCAAGTCTTTGTTCAAGGAGCAGAGCCTGGAATCTCACTCCAGGAGACGCGAGCAACCTGAACCCAGACCAGAGGCGTTCAGTTGGCCAGCCCCTTTTTAGGCGCAAGATACCAGAGAACAGCACAATGTCAGAATCTTGTCCAAATCCATTTTGAGAACAGGAAAAACAACTCATTAAATTTTGGGAGGTTGGCGAGTCCAAGATCTAAGCCCAGGAAGTCAGGGTCTGGGAACCACTGTCTTCGTGCTGTTACCTGCCACGGTGGACAAGAGTGAGCTTGCGAGGTTCTCCAGTGGCAGCCAGCACCTGGAGGAGGGCGACCTGAGCACAGCACACGGGACATGAGGAAAGCACGAGGCTGTCCTGTGTGCCTGCCTCGTGGCCAGCTCCCTCGGCAGGCGATGGCACAGTAAACAGGCTTATGCCATCATCTAACTGGGAAAGGGAAGAGTTTTGTGTGTCGTTTGCAGCATGGAGCTCTGAAAGCAAATTTCAGAGTTTTATGTAAAGCTATGTGCGAACGTAACCGAGACAAATTTGCAGAAAGGCATCTCTGGTTCTCTGCCTCTCCTTGGTGCTGGAGGCTTACAAGTCCACCAGTGTGGGGCCGGCATGGGTTGGCATCTGCTCAGCACCGCAAAGGCACTGCCACATGGCGGGGGGCGTCACGGGGCCAGGCAGAGGAGACAGCTGTGTGGGTCTCGAGCCTCTGCTGTCAAAGACTGACGGTGACGTCTCATCCTTCTATTCCCCACAATTTCTCACAGCACGTGACGCATCCTAATGCTGTGTTGCTTTAAAACCTGATCCCCTGCAAAACCACTGAAAGTCTTTTTTTCACCCCCTCATATTGCTTGTAACAACAACTCAGTACTTCCAGTCTTTATTGGCTTAGCTACTTCAAAGACAAAGTCAGCGAGAGCAACAAAAACTAAAAGCACTGAGCACCTCCCATAGGTTAAGCTGTGTCTTGTCACACAGGCAGAGCTTCATTGACCTTAGAGGAGAAGACCACTGTGCCTGCTAAACCTGGGAACCTAGCTGATAAATTTAGCACAATACCCTGCATTGCCTATTCATGAATTGCTGGATTTTTCATTTCTAGGAAGTTGATCAGTACAGAGAAAAATACTCCAGATGAAGCCTCACTGCCCATGTCACACTCTTACAAGGGGGAAAGGCTCAGGCACACTCGGCTCCTCCAGATCACAGGCCCTCTGAGGACTGGCAGACTCGGCATGAACCAGCAGAGCGCAGCAGCACGGCGCTGACGAGCTCCAGA